CAGGAAAGTTATGTGTTGGACACATTTTTTAAACTATTTCATTAAGTTACATATGTACATAAAGTTAACTTCCACTAAAATTGTGAAAGATTTATTAAATTTGAAAAGAAATTTAATATATGAAAAACAAGTTGAGTCCCGAGGATACCTTGCCAAATAATATAACATTGGCTCAGAGTCATTAACATAATTTTTGGCAATAAATAAAAGAACAATACATAGGTTATTTTTTATTTGTGTTTTGTATTGGCCGATATCGCTTCTAAAATCCTAGGAGGATCCAGACAATTTTATTTTTTTAAATCTACGCCCTAACATACTTTCGGGCTCCACATATTCCTTTTAAAAAATTATAAGTTTGGCAGCATAATATTTCTTCACAGATCATCACCTCTTTTTATTTCCTGACAAAATAATTCAGTACAGTCAGTACATCATCTGTTTTTCACGTGACATCGTCGGTGTTGCCAGGTCACAAGGATCCAAATATCGTAGACTGCATGGTCAAAATTGTTATGTTTTTGTACATATCGTAGTTCAACCCATATTCAAATTAAAAATCTGATGTGTCCAACACATGACTTTCCTATCTAGTTATTACAGGCACCTGTGTAAATGTTTAGAGCTTAACTTAATATATACATTTTCCATATTTGCATTATCTAACCATGCGTAGCTCATTATGTATTCTACATTATAATTTTGATTATTCAAGAATTTTCTTTACATCTGACAACAGTGTTGAAAACTGTTCTATTCAATTTTTAAAGTGTTTTCTAAATAATTCTGATTCTGAGTCACTTTCACGGTTCAGATGGTCTGTGCACGGTTCTCAGCCGATGGGAGCTTCCCCTTTACGGTTCCCCTTTGGTTCAAAGCAATGAGATATTAATCGTCAAAGATAGAAGCATCAGATATAAAAGCTTCAGAGGTAGAAGTCTCACGTGAAGTATTTGGGAAAGCTCAAGTATGTAGTATGTTAACAGCCTGTAGGAAAAATAAGGCTGTGGACACTTTAAACCTATTAACCACAAGAGTAAAAGGACCAGCAAAATATGGTTGGTTGGCAGAGGCAATTAAAACAAAAGTAGAATCTGTGATATGGTCCATACTTTGTAATGGATCCATGGCAAAAAAGAGAAAGTGAAAAGCAGTTGTAAGGTGTCACGTACCATAAAATGGTACTTGTTTTAAGCAGCGACGTAGTCACCGATATGGACAAAAAAGAGAATTCTCACTTTAAGATAACTCAAACGGAAGTTATTTAAACAAATTTTCGATTAGAATGTAGTTTAACAGACGTTGGTGTCCTGCATACTTGACCATAATCATCTAGAGTGCCATAATAACATGGAACTATTTCATTTTTTTATCTGATCATAAAACCAAAGTATATTAACCGCTGAGTAGCGACAGCTGGGGAACCAAATTCTAGTGCGCCGACGCGAAATAGAGAGGCGAGACGTCTTCTAAAGATGTAAACAACCCCTTTCACTTTAGTCCGGCAGCTTATATAGGAATTCGTTGTTATGGATTTATTAGTGCTCTTGTATTGTGTTTTTGTTAAGATTTTTTGAGGTTTTGTCGGTTTTTCATTTTGCCAGGAAATGCATGTGCTATAAGTGATATATATTTTTATATTTACTACATAAGTTAAATACTCATAAATATAAAACTGCCTAATGACCAAACCTTTATTATAAATGTAAACTACAAAAGAGTTTTACTTCAAATTACGTCGAGCAGTGTAAACATCACATTCAAGACCAGTTCATAATTCGAGCAGTGTTTTACTGTGTCGTTCCGTCAAAATGTCAAAAGAAAGAGAAAGAAAATTTGTACCACCCAAGATCAAAGGCACTGACGCTTTATGTCGCTACTCAACGGTTAATATACTTTGATAAAACTGTAAAAATAATTGAAATTGACAAGTTACAAGTGGAATGTTAAATCTACAATAGCTGAACAATGAATAATTAATAACAAATTATTTATAAAATTAGGTAAAAATTAATAGCAAATAACAGAGAAAGCAAAGAGCAAATAGCTTAGTCAGAAGAACCATTTTTTATATAACATGCTTGATAATGACTGTAAAGCCGAAACTATTTTTAATATAATAAATATTTATATGTGGTATTTTAGAGTTTTTTATTCCTTCCTTAGAGTAACGTTAGAGTAACGTTACCACATTTGAGAAGATGGATAATCTTTCGTTTTTAATATTACTGTATTTTTAATGGTGTATAATTATATTTATAAATTAATTTTCTCCTTATTGGGTATTTATTATTGGAGGAATGATCTAAATAGTGTAAACTACGGTGATAAGAAATAACTGTTGGTCATATTTTTGAAAGTGAGAAAATAAGGGCATATTTTAAGACCTAGTTGAGGTAAATTGTAGGGAATATTATGAATAATGACTATTTCTAACTAATACGTTTTCTGTAGAATACTTTATTTACATTTTCTAGAAGATAAGAAAACAAAATTGAAAATAAATTAGTTCATTGATTGTCAAAGTTGTTTATTAAAATATCTGTTTGTAATAAATATAATGATAAGAGAATGAAGAATAATGACTGCGTGCATGAATTTTGCATGATGAACCTAATACAACAAATGTTTATTGTATTTCAAGATAGCACATTAAGATGTAATTGTTTAAAAGCTTCGTATCATATACAAATAAAAATATATAGTATGGTTCTTGTTTTGAGACCTATTTAATTAATAGTAGTTTACGTTATAAGACTGGAAAGTAGTGTTTTGCTGGTCGAGACAAGCAGATTTCAGTTCGAGCCGTATGTGCCCCATTTTCGCATAAAAGCCTCGAAGAGTATTGAAAAGTACATCGATGTTGAGTAGAATAAAAGAAAATTTACGAGTGGCTCTTGGGGTTAACACATGGAAAATTCGATTTTTCTTATCAGAAAAATTTTCCGACCCCAAAATGCACTTATACATTCAAGTCATTTAAGAAAATGTATTTTTCGGACTAGTGACGATGTACGTTTTCATACGTTCGATGGGCTTGTGCGGAAAAATCTGGTAAAATCTCGATTTTCCTTAGATTACGCCCTTATTTCAACCCTTTAGCCACTTGCAACATTAAAGCCTTTGGTTTTCCAAAGCCTAGTTTTATTAATTAATCATATAGTGAAAACAGCTTGCGTGGAAATATGGGCAACATTTTTGTTGGGGAAAATCGAATTTTCCATGTGTTATCCCCAGGAGCCACTTGTACATTTACTTTCATTCTACTTAAAATCGATGTACTTTTCAACCCTCTTCGAGGCTTGTATGCGAAAATGGGGCCCCTAAACCTGTCACTATCTGACGGTCTATTAGCAAACTCAAATTTCCTATTTTTCATGAGTGAGATCTGCATTCAAAGTTATTCCCTGTCACTACTTCTGATCTTTTTTTTATTGATGACTAATCTGTCAAATTTCACACTCTTTTTCAGGCACTACTTCCTTCTCCATATTTTTTGGATTAATAAAAAAATGTTTTTTTTTTTATTTTGTCCCCACTATACTTTTTAAGTTACATATTTTCCACTTTTCCATCTTTTCCTGCAGCTTTTGCGTAGGACTGCTGTCTATATAACTTCTTTTATTTCTTTAAATATTGGCACTTCGATTTCGATTACATCCGTATCTTCAACAACTAAATTTTCTTGTGCTTGGCATTAGTAGAGCCTTAAAATATTCTTCCCATGTTAAATTATTCTTCCTCTATTTGGCTATTCTTGTTTTTAATTTTACTTGTTTTAGTTGTCTAAACTGTTTTATAATTACTTTTATTATTTATAAAATCTCCTTGTATTATTATTTTAAAATTTCTTCATTTATTTTCTTTTATTTTTTCTTACTTTCTTTTTCCGGTTATTCCAATTACTTGTTCTGCAGCTTAAGTAATTGCATTTTTAAGATTAACCGATCAACTTTCTACTTTGTTGTGCTTCTCCGGCTGTATTTCTATGTATTTTCAATGTCCTCGATTTCCTTTTTTTTTCTCTCATTGCTCTTTCACGTACCTATCAATATTCCATTCGGTTTTTGAACATTTAGGATTCGTTTCAGTTTTAGTCGAATCCCTTACCATCATAAAGTGATTAGAATCAGCACATATGCTCCGCCAGCTCCACGATATGTTCGTGAGTCATCACTAAAGACTCTTTCCTTTCATTTACCATCACGTGATGTATTTTGAGTCCGATGATCCGGAGAGATCCAGTTTACTTTATGCTTCTCATATATCTTAAATTTATTTGGCTATTTCACCATTTCTTTTTCATTTAACTCATATCTGTATATTAACATGTGGAGTCAAATGAATGTCCTTTAATTAGGTTTGTAACTACACTAACTGCCGATGTTATCAGTCCAATAGAAGGGCCAGGTCCAAAAACTATTTCGTTGGCTGCCTTTTTGGCTAGTCTCGCCACACCAGATTCTACATCAGGTACCTTACAAAGCAGGTACCTTAGTTTATTACCAGTAGCAAGGTCAGTCTTTTGGCTAGGTACATACCAATGTATTTGTGCATCGTCTCATTGAGGATCTAACCACGCTTGAATATTATTGATCTTTTTCTCAGTAGTTGTGATGCAATGATTTTAATGAGAAGTCAAAATGATATTATCATCAGACAAGATTGCTATAAATGTTTTCAATCTACCTTTTAGGAGCGTACATTTTTTTTCATTTTTGCAAGTAAGCTGATTGGCCTCTATGAGCATACTTCTTCCATGGACAATGCTGTCAATAGTGAATAGTAAATGACGTTCAAATATGAAAGGCAACTTTTATAATGTGTCGTTTTTTTTTCATGCAAGTATGAGCGTAGTGCCTACAAACCGAGGTACGAGCGCTATTTACTGTTCACTTCAACACAAGTAAAGCAGGAACGAAGATTTGGTCTTACCAACACTGTATATTATGCATGAAACAAAAATTATTTTGTGAATATCTAAAATTCAAAATACTTACTTGATTTAAAAGTGATTGTCAGGCTAGCATTTTCATTCCTCTTTAGAGGACATTTTTTAGTAAAGCAATCTTTAACAACGACATCAATCAGCGATCCGCTCTCTGACCCTGAAAGGAGGAAAATATTAATGATAAACTCTTGTTTATTATAAGATATCAAAAAATCTAAACATAGCAAATTTATATGGAATGAAACGATTACAATGATTTACTCATAAATTGTCCGATAATATTAAAATATTGACGAAGTAAATTAAGTTTATCTTATCTATTTTTATTGCTAGATTCGCACAAATATTTGGTAAGATTATGAAACCAAATAAGTTAAATTATTTTGCTACACTTTTTACTTCTAAACCGTTAGTGCATAAACTTATTTTTCTACGCTTACTGTACAAAGTAGGCTTTTGTACATTCAAATCTAACTCACATACTTCACAAGTATGTGATCTAACTGGAAAGTTGAAGTTTTCCGCGATTTGATATAATTTGACTTTATTGACGCTTTAGAGAGCCAAAGTTACTTTGGCGTTTGGCTATTTTTATTAGAAAGGTAGTCATTATTACTACTCATGGGTATTTAAGAACAAACTAATCTAAATATTTTAGTTGAACATCTAATATTCAAACCCATTTAAACGATAATTGAAATAATAAAAATAGGTTAGTTACCCTGTTTTCAATGTGCAGGTAAGTAGACAATACAACATACACATAACCTAAGCTTATCTAACGGTGCCTGTCAAATAAACAATGAGTAAAATTAAAATTTGGTAATATCGTGTAATTATACGGTCTGTTCCAACAACGATCACAAACCAATTAACGACACAAGGATTCTGCGCAGTAGATAATTTGGCGGTCTCAATAATGATCGTTGTTGGAACAGACCTATATAAAAAATCTTTTTTCTACACCCACATGGATATTAGCTTATCTACCCACATACTACAAAACGAAACAGTATGATATTGCGTTCAACTGAACGAATATATTTCATATCCATTCTAGGTAGTGGAAACACTACAAAAAAATGAAATCCACGAATCACAGTTCATATTTTTGGACACCCAACTACTATTATTTTTAAAATTTTAATATAATACTTTATATTCACAATTTGAATTTATTTTGTCGTCTACAAAATATACAGGGTTGCGATTATTAGCATAATTCGACCGACAACGACCTATCGGTAAAGTTTAGTTGATAGTTAGGTTAAGAAATATATTTCAACTGAGTTAAAAAATGTTGGTCATTTTGAACAATAATATTGTAATTTAAAGATGAAGTAAATATGATATGCAGGATTATTTTTTTTAATCTGAGATTACTGTTTACTGCTAAGACATTTTTTAGAAGTTTGCCACAAAAGGGAGGACCTCGTTTATGAAAAATACAAGCTGAGAACCTTTTTTTTAGATTTCACCAAGAAAGTACCTGATTTTGCTGAGGACCTTTCTTTTAGAAATTTAACACAAAAAATTACTTGATTTTCATAAAAATGCCCCCCTATTTTCCGCAAATCTGCCAACCCTAGTTATATAAGGGGCCCTTAATGTGTATTTGCCCCGGGGTCCGCCATGGCTCTCGGCGGCCCTATTAGTATCTAATTATTTCATAAGTACATAATTTTGTCCAGATTTTTAAAGAAATGTCCGTAATTTTTATTAGGTATGTCAGGAAATTGTATTTTTGAATATGGCAACCCTACGATTGAACACTCTGCCTACGGCGTCGTGCTCAAACTTCGTCTTTGTGCGATATGGCCATCATATCGACTCTTGTTGCACAAACTACTATTGTTAAACCTATTAAAATACCTACCTATTTTTGTAAAAGATAATGTGCAACTGCTACGAATATTTAAATTATGTTTTAAATATTTGCTTAGAATAATTAATAATTATGTTCGTGACTTTTTCTATTACATCGTTTGCAGCATGCCTCGTTGGGGATTATACGTAGATACAAAAAAATTACAACTTCATCGGTTTATATACAATTGCTAAATTTTCTGTAAAGATTATTTAGGAATATTATGATTTAGGTCAACAAGACGAAAAATTATAAATAATAAGAAGGTTGTTGGCTATTAGAAGTATCAATACAAATAGTTAAGAAAGGTATTAACAATTTTTTTTTTCTAAAAATTTACATTTTCCAATTTACCCCCATTCCAAGTGATCAAGTAAACTGCTAAAAGCAGAACTAGGGGAAGGGATGGCTATTCTATTTGCCATGGTGCTCCAAGCCGACTTTCAGATCATGTACCATTTGATTTAAGGGCGAGGAAAACCCGAAAACCCCCACTAACACCATCGTAGACACGATATCCCACTGGAAATGAAATATAGATGTACCTACCATCGAAAATTGAATAATTATTGCTAATACAAATCCTACAATAAACCAATACCGTGTGTGCTGTGATCTTGTGATTTGGTAATCCTTGGTATGTTATCATTTTATCAGTATTAATTAATTAATAATTTTTAAATCAATGTTAAAAATGATCAGTTTTTCGTAACATCTCAGATGCCACATGTGCGATTGTGTAACATCGCAGTCATTCAAAAGTGTGAATATCTGTTTCACTACAACAAGAATTTACGTCCGTGTAGTTAACACTATCATTTTAGAATTTTGTATTTTTGAATATTGGAGAATTGGTCGCTTTTTTTCGTAAAGTCGTGGTAAAACAAAATGTGTCGCTCCTCGCCTTTTTGAAATAAACCCCAGTTAATGATAAAATAACCTCTAGTAGCGCTCTTGGACCAAGCAAGGAATATTTTTTTGGGATTAAGATATTTGTATGAAATGCATTAAAACGATTAAAAATGAGAAATTTCAACACCATACTTTTTCTACGGCTCTATTATCTACAAATAATTAGTATTTAAGATTAGTAAAATATTATTTGATTTCCGTAAAGTTGGTTCTACCACGTTATACACATGAATTTTTTGAATATTGGATAATTTGTCGCCTTTTCGTCATAAATTTGTGTTAAAAAAATTAAGAAATTTTCTAAAATTACCCGTTTATGTTTACTTGAGAATCACCAATAATTTTAGAATAGCCAATGTTATTATTGTTTTGCCATATTTTGATCATCAATTTAAGGGAGAAAAGGGGGAGGATTTATTTTTTAATGAATAAACACAATATCTCATATTCCTTAGATCTTACAAACGTGAAAATTTATATTTAGGGACGCTTTTTAAAAATAAAGAAAATGTTACGAAAAATTTGAGTAATTCCTTTGAAAATAAAGTAATACGATTGTGCCGTTTGCCGATCATTTAGCGAAGAGAGGCAATTTATAACCCCTGGAAACGACCTTTTTCTATATGGATTTTAAAATTAAAATAAAAAAAAAAATTTAAAATTTTAAAATAAAAACAAAATTCTATATCGTATATCTGTATTTAATAATAAATAAAAGTTGTTAAAAAATGTGTCTCACTTTAGACTCTAACCACCCCATTTTATTTATAAATTATCCATTTAAAAAATTTTATACACACTAAATTGTATTTTTAGGGTATATTACTTTCCCTTCAAGGTAAACTGCTAGCAATATTAAAGAAACCATATTAGGGAATTTTCAGTCAAAAAAATTTATAAAAAAAAGTTATTCAAAATCGTTATATCTCTAATAAAACTTCTTTTATATTGCTGTTTATTTTAAATCGTCGTAGGCTAGTAATTTACCGAGAAGAGAAAGTAACATACCCTAAAAATACAATTAACTGTGTGGTATAATTGGGTAAATTTTTTTTTTAAATTTATGAACAAAATTATTGATAATTTTTTAAGAAGTGAAGCGAAGTTTCGCCATTATGGCCATCCTCAGGCCAAATACATGTGTTGGTAAAAGAGAAGAAAACTTACATATTACAAGAAAGTTTTGTTACAATACAATAAATACCATGGTTTATAAACCATGGTGGAAAAACATTAACAGTGACATCAGACATTATGTGTTAAATATAAACATTGATATAATGTATGAAAAGTTATTTTTTTATATAGAATTGAACAATTTTTTCTTTATAATGTTTAAGACAGTAGAAATTTAGGAGCAGTTTGAAACAGGAACATTAAAGTTGTCTGATAAATGGAGGTTGATTCGTTGAAATTTTCGTAATTGGTATTTTCTCGCAAAATTACCATTAACTAGGGTCTATTTCAAGAAAGGGATGAGAGACATTTTTCTAATAACATATTTACGATGAAAAAGCGACAAATTATCCATATAAAAAAATGTCATTTATGCTCATTTTCGGGATTGATAATGCTAACTTTCCATCAAAATTAGTATTAACTGGGGTTTATTTCCAAAAAGGGATAAGCGACAAATTTTTTCCCACGAAAATTTTACGACGAAAAAAGCAACAAATTATCCATATAAAAAATGTAATTTTTGCTAATTTTCGTGAATGGTAGTTTTAACGTTAACATTAACTGGGGTTTATTTCAAAAAGGGAATGGGCGACAATTTTTTTTACGAGAAATTTACGATAAAAAAATTACAAAGTGGTAGTGCTAACTTCACGGATGTGAATACTTTTGTTTACGATAACGTTTACTAAATAAGAATTATTTCTAAACGCATAATTGGCAATAATTCATACATTTTAGAAAGTTTACTGTCCCTAATATTATTAAATATAAAATAAGAAACATTTATAAATACTTATATTTTACAAGAACCATGATGCAGGTTCAGGAAAAAACAAACTTTTATGATTCATTCAAATCATAAGTATCCACTTACCGCAATCTGTCCATTCAAATTTTGAATCTGCCAAACAGCAACTGCCAAGACACAAAACTGTTATTGCAAAAATTAAACTATTCGACGAATACATCTTCAGTTTATTCAAAAAAGCACGAGGACATCGGTCTGTCAGCGATTGAGAGAGAAATGAGTGGCTACCGGAACAATAAATATATTAAAATAGTTGGATCTTTCTCATTATCTTTAATTTACCCAGTGGCGTAGTAAATACTAGCGTATCGCTTTTTGTACAAAATAAATTACGAAATGAACAATATAAATAGGATTAAGGTTATATATACATTTCTTACTCAAAAAGTATTTGCCATCGTATGACAATAATTTAATGTTAGACAACGGCGAGGCCTAAATTAAAATAGCATCGAAGAGGTTGGGGCGGCAATAATGTCACCTATGAGCATTTTTTATGTGATTTCAGTTGCCGAAACGTTTTTGAGCGACAAATTGATTTCGAAATGATTTCGGAATTTTCGTAGTGATTTCGGTGATATCGAGTGAAAACTTACCAGTATTTCGGGAGTGGTTTACCCTCGGGAGTAGTTTACCCCTCGGAGCAGGATATCTTAATGACACCATTTAACTCATCTAGCCGTAAACTGTTGACCTAAATCTGACACATAATCCCGCTTGTGCAGATTTGGTATAATATTTTAATATAACCTCCCCCTCCTTTTTAGGAATTTGTTGCAATTTATCTGTCTAGTTATGATTATTTATCGAGAGAAGAAAAATGTTGAAATACTACCAAAATAAACATTAGCTAGTAAATAATATTGTAACGTTTGCATAATTTATTTAAAACACTTTATTTACAATTTATTTATAACGTACTAATCAATTTATATAATACTTAGGCACTATTATAACTTACAATTCTAATTGATTTATTACAATTTATCTTATCTATCTAACACTTAAATTGAATATTAATGTCTGTCGAAAAGTCGCGCTATTTATATACAGTGAGCATCATAAGTCTTACCCCCCTAACTAACTCGTTACTGGGGTCTTGTTATGAAAATCGCCGAGACAGGTCGATTTTTGATTTCTACAATGTACATTTTTGCATGATTAGTTTACCCTTAATTTCATCCCTAGCAACCCTTTCGAAAAATTTAAATGGCATGGGGTGGTGAGTGAGAGCTCATTTGAAAGGGGGTTTTATTCTCTATTCAACCGTGCAAAAAAATTTGAAATTTGCTTCATTACGTGTTGATTTATTAATGTTTAAAAATAACAAAATCTCACAAAATAGGAAAGCAACTAGACTAACAGTGACCTTCTAATGGCAAAAAGTCTTACTTCACGTCTGAACCAAAACCGAAATCATGCAGGGCCGAATTTTAATTCTAAGGATGAGTGCGCTACGTTAATTTCCGTTATTCTGAAACAACAATTAGTCGAGAATTAATGAAGCAAATTTCAAATTTTTTTACACGGTTGAATAGAGAATAAAACCCTCTTTCAAATGAGCTGTCACTCACCACCCCATTCCATTTAAATTTTTCGAAAGGGTTGCTCCCCACCAGTAAGGGATGAAATTAAGGGTAAACTATTTATATAAAAATGTACATTATAGAAATCAAAAATCGACGTGTCTCGGCGATTTTCCTAACAAGACTCCAGTAACGAGTTAGATAGAGGGACTTATGGTGCTCACTGTATAAATATAACATAAGAACCAACTCTGACTAGAATATCAGTCTATAAAGGTAACATTTCGGTAGACACGACAGACGACAGCCGACAGCCGACGCGACCGAGAACTGTCTCTTCACGTCTGAAACACATATGATTATATGAAACACATTTCGCACGGCGCGACACAAGAAGTGTCGTCTTGACGTCTTGACGACACTTCTCGACGACACTTTGGATCTGTCTCCGGACAAAGCGATTGCTGCGTGTCGCACTCGAGGTCACTGTCCTCAGACATCGCTTGTATTTGGAAGTGATTAGGTTGGAAATTTCTTTCGATCTAGGCAGTGTTGCCAGATGCTGGAACAGTATGGGCGAAAAAAAAACCGTAGATCTAAACAGTAGATTTTAATACAGGGGGAAATATTTATAATTTGCAGTGTAGTAACTAAAAAAAAAAAACAAGTATATAAGACACGAAAAATAAACATTTTTCTACCCAAATCAGAAAGTAAACAAAGAATAAAAACAAATAATAACATTTTTAATATATACTTCACGTATGGAAACAAAACAAAAACAATGAAAAATGATAGGTACCTACTTCTTTTAGATCAGTCTGAATCAGATAATTCAAAATAGTTGTATTTGGCATGCGTGTTCTTTTTATGATGCCCTATTAATTTTTTGTTTCATTTTAAATAAAAACAAAATGATTATCTTGATGTTTTTTTATGGAGCCAACCTACAGTAGTGGATGCTTATTACGCTGCTTTTACTTCAGCAAATTTACTAGAGAAAATCTTCTTTGACCATTTGCTGAACAATGAGGAAAATTTAATAAATTAAGAATCAAATTTGCTAGAGACAAAAACAGTGGATCTACTTAAAAACAGTAGGTCTGGCAACGCTGATCGTTCCCTCGAATTTTTTTCTGCGGGTGTCGTGCCACCTGTCTCCTTGCTTCCCAAATGTACGGAGCGTAACATTTATGCATCTGTCGTCCTTGGGGTCTCCTCGGTGGTCTCCTGTCTCCTGACGCGCCTACCGAAATGGTACCTTAAGTTCTGGAACGCGTAAGACTGCGATGGAAAACTTTCGAATGGGTTTCTCGAGGCTCGAGATGGATCTAAATATGGCTAGTGCTAGACTCCCTGTCAGGCGTACGGTAATAAACAAACGACAGGGTTGGCTTGTGCGACAATATAAAGAATTTATATTGTACCTACAAACCTGTCCTGATCCTACATTGTTTGGAATTAAAAAGAGTAGTCCTTTATTTAATGATAATATTTTAAGTTTTATTGAACTTTCCGGATTTTAAACATTTTGTTTTAAAGCTTTTTCTCTTTTATTTAAGCTTTAATATTTTAACCTAATAAATGTATGTAGTTTAAGCACATACTTTAATTACTATACAGTGCAAGAGAGAGGTCCGACACGCCCAACATAGGGCGCGGCACATACTTTGATTACTATACGGGGCAAGAGAGAGGTCCGACATGCCCAACATAGGGCGCGGCCATTTTGAACCCTATGACACAATTTATAACTAAAGAATCAGATCGCTCCCTCTGCGTCGGCACTTTTTATTTCAATGTTCCAGTTTATACACTGCGCAACTCAGATAATACAATATATAACAACCGCCTATAATAAAATAGCAGTCTTCTGCGTATCCTGAATTTGTATCTCTGGAGTGGATGTTATTTTGGAACTTTCAACTGGTCCGAGTGAGCCAACTGATTCTTTAGCAATAAACTGTGACTCCAAAAATAATAATTACTGACACTGACAGCAACAAGCAAAATATCAGGTGCGTTTTAATCATCCGCTTCTGCTTCCGGAATTGTCGGTTTAGTCGTTTTAACCTCTCAGATTAAAACAAGAAAACCGAAAATTTTGAAGCAGAAGCGGATGATTAAAACGCACTTATTAAAAATATTGCGCCAAGATGTAGGCAACACGTAATAAGGGATTAAAATGGCGGAGTTTTCTATCTCCTTTTAAAAGGCACTCAGAAAGCTGCGCAGTGCGACCATTCTCCGTATAGTAAAAGAAAATCAAAGTATGTGAGTTTAAGTTTTAAGATCTCTGTATTTCGAGAATTAAAATGTTTATTTTTTTATTTTTAAAGTAGGATTTTTAAAGATTCACGTAGGTATGTATTTTAGATCTTAAAATAAATAATATAAATAATCACTGCTTTTAGATTCTTTCCTAGGTTGAACTATTTTTTGTCTCGCTTTATTAAAAAAAAAAAAATGATAACCTCTGTAAAATGTATTGCAAAACACAAAGTATATTATTATAATCGGAGATAAATATTAGTATGGTGCTATTTGTAACAAAACTACTCTAGAAATGAATTCTGTAGGGGGCTAAGTGTCACAAGCTAAATTTTTAGTGAATTCAAAACTATTTTTTAGATTCTAAAACCGGAGGTAAGCCAAATCTAGACTGTGCAGAAGGGCACTATTTTCAAAAAAACGAGATATTGGTACCATTTCATAGAGCGTAACGTGTACTACAATATAACCGCAAAATCCAAAAGTCTCTTTACAAGTTACGTAAATGTAGTATCATTTAAAAAACTAAAAATACGATTTCCTCGGTTTTATCTTAGGAAAAAATTGCGAAAAATGTTGAACTTTTCTGTTTACACTAAGAAATTAGCTAAACAAGCTTATAAAACAAAAAAATTACTCTTTATAAAAGTTTTTAAAATGTGTTTAGATCATAAAAAAACATCACCATATTAACTTATGTTAATTAATGCCTTCGTCCGTATCGCTTTGTAAATTCCCATCTTAGTTGCACCTATGATTGTAAACATATATCTACCTCTATCGCACTACAACACTAGCCCAGCTCATAATATTATCACCTCAACCAGTCATATTTTTTTGTAGATAAAATTAGAGTTCTAATAATGTTTTATACAGATGTTCCAAATATTTAACATATTTAATCAAAAAAAGTTCATATTAACACGTAACACATGAACATTCATCCAAATTCGATTAAAAGTCAAGAGATGTAAAAGTTAGATAACCAATTTAAAAATAAAAACAAGAAAAACAAGACGAAAAAAAAATAGGAAAAAACAAGAAAAAATAAAAAAAACTTTTCTTTTTGGTAGGTTAAATCGGGAATTAAATTTGATTTCATTGATAAATACTTTTGTTTAGTAAGTGCCGCGTTATAAATAAGTTGGGAATATTTAGAAACGGAGTTTTCGAGGAGAAGTTTTCCCTCTTCTAATAGTTTGTTTATTCTTTTACAGCAAATTTAAATAATCTTAAATAGCATCCTGTCCCTGTCTGAGCGGGCTCGTGATGACGATCAGCTGATTCTTGGATTAGGTGCTATCCGCTTTTTACTTTCCTATCTGTATACAGATATAAGGAAAGTATAGGAATCATGATTTTTTTCGACCTCGAGTTTTCGACGGATTTTTACGTTTTGAGGTCCCCTGAATCCGTTTTGACTATTTTCGCGATGATGTCTGTGTGTGTGTGTGTGTGTGTGTGTGTGTGTGTCTCTGTGTGTGTGTGTGTGTGTGTGTGTGTGTGTGTGTGTGTGTGTGT